CACACACACACACACACACACACACACACACACACACACACACACACCAATATTACATACCATTTACTGTTAATCTCAGAAGTTTAAATATTCTATCCATAACAATTACTATTCACTTTGGTAGAACTTCTTGACTGATACTTCAAGGAATCCAAAATTTTTTTTAAAAATCACTTTGTCCCTAAAAAATGTTTAGATTCAGCTTTTTGTTTTGGGTAGTCTTAATCTGAATATGGTTGATTGAGGAAACTCCTAAAGGTCCATGTTTACTCTGTGTGCTGACCAAGAAAGCTTTCAGCAGTATAAGAAAAGGTTCATCGTCACTCATCCAGCATTTAGCTTGTCCGATTGCCCCTAAATTTACACTAAGGTGATGCTTTTCCCCCCATTTAATGGGTCAATGAAGAGTCACCAGAGAAGCATGCAAGAGCGCAGATATTCAAGCTTCACTTAAGTAAACCTACAGTAGGAGTTAACATCAACAACCAGGAAACAGATCGGGTGACACATTATGGTCCTCGAGTGTGATTAAGAAGTGGTGTAAAGATGCAACTTCATACAACACAAAATACTGAATCAGGAAATCACGTGGCAGTACACAAACAACTTTGATGCACTGTAATAATCATAGAACTACTAGGTGACACAAGAAAGCAATGCACTACAAACTGCTAGTTCCTTCTTCATAAACAGCACTCAGAATTGCCCAAAGGAGGGATGTGTGTCAAGAGGGGCTTGACCTCACAGCCCAGAGAAAGAGTAATTCACTTTCACTAAGAGATTTCTTGTTCTTGTTGTAGAGTCTGGAATGTGAGACTGTGCTCATCTGTTGGACACTGGGGGTTACAATAGGCTAGGTCCCACGGCAGGGGGCATCCACTGGCAAAGTAATGCTCCGAGCCCCAATCAAATATTATTCCAAATCTTCTGACCCCTTGTTTGTGCTCAGCTGTCCCCCTCTGCCTGGAAGTATCAACCAGTCAGCTCAGATCTTCTTCGTCTTACGGCCCAGGTGGTAGTAGTACGCCATGGTGACCACCACGAAGAGCACCCGACTGACGAGCAGGAGGATGGCAGCGTTGGGCAGGATGCCAACCTCCATTAAGGTGATGGAGGTCACTGAAACCACAGAGCCACATTTAGTACTCAAAACTTATTTTTTAAGCAAAAGGCTCACTGCACATGTTTTTCTGACATTAACCTCTGGAGCGTGTTTTCAAGTTTGTTTAAAAAACAATGATCACATGCCCATACACATTGAACGAGTTCTGTTGCTGCAATTGTCAGTCTGTGTTACACAAATCAAGTGGATATCATTTAAAATGAATCCTTATAGTACAAAACGTGCCTTTATGCGTTTCCCTGGGCAGCGCTTCCATGCAGAGCTGGCGGGATAGTAACAAAGAGGGGCTTTTGTGCTGTAACTTTGAAAGTAACCAACTTGATTTGTGTAACCGACTGCTGAAGCCTCACATTAGCGTCGGCTGACCTTTAGAAGTATTTTTAACTACACAAAAAGGAATTTGTCCCCCATCACTTGCATTGACATTGCTTTAGTAAAGGTCTCTTTGGGTCCAGCATAGACAGGAGCAATGGTTATAGAGACCAAAATGTACAACGTACATGTAGACATGCAAGTGTTCAGACTTAAATGTGTGACCGATCCTTCAATATAATGCAAGGCTGCGACTCCACACTCCAACCACAAGAGGGCAGTATCAACACAATTATAGTTGGTCTCAACTAAGTGAGATCATAGACTGGAGACAAAAAGACATGAACCAAACTGTAAGATAATGTATTGGAGGAATCAAATCACCAAGAAACTGTACAGCAAAGTAGCAGGCTTCACTGAGCAGAGTCCACTGGATGACGGTCTTCTCTACCGTGTACAGACCATTCCACAAGATGAGGGCCAGGCCTGGAAAAGGATGTGATAAAAGGGAATTTATAGGTTGAGGTGGATGGGAATGAAAACAGAAAAGAAAGTACTGCAAAATGTCTAAGAGCGATTCAACTAACAAACTACAACTAATGAGAACAGTTGATTTGTAGCTGTATTGCAGGTCTGTGATGCAACATGCACACTGTGATAATTGGCCTATTGGTGATCCGTTCAATGATGCGACTCATTGATTCTGTGTTTAATCCACACACACACACACACACACACACACACACACACACACACACAC